TTTCAAAAGACAACTTCTAATTGTATAAGCTGTATTATTAATGAAATTATTCTTAGTGTTACAAGAACGTTGAGAAATGTAACTGGATTATCTCAATCGCATTTAATAAAATATAATCAACACATTTATAGACTGAGAAAGCGTTTAATTGCTTTATCAAATTATCTCATTATATAAAGCTGATAAACTTTAAATATTATTAAACAACTCAGATTTATATCAGGAATTCTGACTCACTATAAGTTATACTGTGACTAGAAATATAAGATTGGCATGTTTATTACAAACTTTTGATATGTTATGAGGAAAGTTTTTGAAATTGGTCATAAAATCAAGGTATCAAGAAATCTAAATTATCTTTAATTATATGTTCATAGGTTATTAATATATCATTAATACCGAAATAAAGTTCTAATTAAAAGAACATTAGCTTGTTTTCGTGACCTGATCGACTATAGATGATAAATGAAGTTACTACATAGAGTAATGATATGTTAGCAACAATTATATGTGGGGAAATTTCTGAAAATTTGTGCAACATATCTCAAGTCATATCTCAATTTTAATATTTGTTTAAGTTTTACACTTTGTATTAATAGGGGCGACCATTAATTATGTGTGGTTTTTAAGAGAGAGGGGGGGGTGTTTTGACAAAAAATCACAAAAAATCACGTGCAGAAAGGAGGGGTATAATAAAGTATCACGTGCATTTATTTTGTACCTAAATTCTTTTTAAAAAATCTAAACATTTTCAAAAAACTAAAAAAATTTCTCTTACTAAACTTTATGTTTGGTGCGGGAGGTGTGTATCACCAAGGGTGAGGGGGGTCCAAAAATTCTTAAAAAAAATTATCACGTGATTAATGGACGCTCCCTATTTATTTAATTTAATTAATTGATATATTAAAAGTTTTTGTTATTACTAACGTCCCTAGCATAACAACGTTATTACTACTTTCGATGTGTAGTGCATTACCATATCCTTTATTATTTGGATCTACGTTATATTATCTGCGGCATAATTTAAGTAGATTTATATGCAGCAACATTTCAATTTTGCAGATTCGTATGATTAAATTTCCATTCAAAGCATAAATGCAAGTTGAGTCCAGATTAGCACGACAAACTTGGTTAATTAGACGAGTATTACATTAGCCGGCGTGGCGTGTGTGACGGCTCCACCAGGTCGCATTTTCCCATTTATTCATGTTATCAAACGTATCACGCGAGAAACAGGACAGATTTAAATTTTTAACTAGGTTTTTCCATATTTTATTATATAAACACATATTATATATTCATCACGAGCCAAATATTTTAATCAACAGAACAAACATAATTTTGGTAATGGTAATTTATAATTCATATTTGTATTTGGAGAGTGAAATCAATTAGAGTCGATTAGATCATAGTTAACTTTCCGTAGAATAAGTTATAGTAAACGCAAAAAAATTAAATTGAAAATCTTTGCATATCTTTACATTTTAGAGGTTTCCGATCATTTCGGCATACCTTAGAAAAAATGGATGTATGTGTGTGTGTATATATGTTGGGATACAATTATTTAAATTTGAATGATTTAAAAAACATTCGATTCTTATTTATGGGAAGACGTGATGATTAGTTTTTGGAGAAGGCAGGTCCAGCCGTGTTGAAGATACGGAGCAAAGAGTGCAGAAAATAGAAATCAAGTTTTTGAGAGAACGGAGCATCCGATTTGAATGATCTAAAAAACTATCTGCTTTTGTTGACGAAGCAATTGCCATTGGGAAAAGGATTTTTTTTTAATTTTAAAAAAGTATTTTTTTGATTATCGAAAATAAATCACATTTTGAACTTAATTTCAGCTAAAGTTCTAAAGCTCATTTATATACTTCAAATAAATAATTTTAACTTTGCAATTCAGTTTATATAATTCTTATAAATATTAGACAATGACTTTCATTTTGAATTCGAATAATTATGTTGTGTTTATTTACTTTTCTATAAACAATGAACATATTTAAATTACAGAGATTATTATAATTGAAAACATTTAATATTCCTCGAATATTTCATTACGGTACGAGAAGTTCCAGCAAATTGCTTCAAGGCATAATGCCATCTATCTAGTTCATATTTGTTTCTGAATAGTCAAATCAATTAAAGTCGGTTTTGTATAATACTTTAGTATACGCAATGTTATATCAATTTTGAGAAAGTGTGTAATTACTTTTTTTTTGGATCTAATACCAGAATTGATCTAGAATGTTTGAGAATTTTCTGATATTATTCATTAGAAATAATGTAGATTACATAATAGGAAGAAATTGCCAAATATAGCGTATTCCAGAACTCAACGTCAAGCCGTAACGGGGTAGTAGTATTGGTAGTAACTATCATGAAAATTATGAAAAAACATCTCAAGTAGTTTGAAATATATGAGCTTTTACGTACAACCCAGAGCTTTGGTCAAATTGTAACTATTGTTCGGTTGTTATGGTTAATTTTTATTGATTTTGCTCATTTAAACTTTGTAAGCGTAACAGTGAATAGCGTTTACAAGATCATGGTTGAAAATAATATGACACAGTTTGTCTTAAATTAAAGTCTTAAATTAAGAATTAAAATTTTTGTTGAACTATGAATTTAATATTTTCCAAATTGATAGACTTTGAGAGGCCCATCTTTTTTTTAAGTAAAAGCACAAGTAGAGCAAAAGTGTGTAGGCAAGTTACATTAAAATTTAGTACTTTATTAAAACAGAAAAAGATTTATGTTATTGATTTTGTAAATTACATACACGTATCATTTATTATTCATATTTGTTCTACAAAAGCCAGATTCTCCGGTTTTTTAATTTTAAAGTTATTTTGAAGGTATTTTATTTGAGTTGCATTTTGTTTCCCGCTAGAGAAATATGCTTTAAAGAACATTTCCGGAGACAAGGGCATCCCTGACGTGTACTAAACTTGCATATTTGAAGCGAGGAGATAGCTTTCTACATAACATAGTGGAGCTGGATTTTGCACTGTAATGCCTGAATAAACATCTATGAATAATCTTGCTAAAATTCTAGAAATACATTATCTTAAATTATACACATAATCGATATCTCAATAAATTTGGAATTGTTACTTCCTTATCCCAAATGGAAAAGATCAGTATGCTAAAAGTCAAATTGGACCTTTGTGCCACGCACTACACTATATATAAAAAAAATACTCTCAAATTTTCAAAATGTTTTTAAAAATAGTTAAACAAATTCAATGCAATGTATGAACTTTCAACGTATATTATATGTATATATTTTACGTGCTAATATATTATAGTCAACACAAGCTTCGTACTTCGTACTATGTCATAAACTCATTAATAACTAAGAGGAATTACACCTCATATTTTCCTCCTGTTACGGTAACTCTGACAGTTAAATTTGACGTTGAAATTGAAATATTCAGAAAACTTGTTACTGGAGCAATGATGCATAAAATGAAATAATGCTTTGGTACTTTAATTTAAACTGCAGTCGATATTAATTTCCATATCTATTTTTAGAGGCGCCAGTATGTACGTGCTCTGGTGTTCGCATCTTACTTAGTTTTTGCATTTTTCAATATTATGCGGAGTGTGTTTGGAATTGAGAGAGAGAACATATTTTATGCAATTCTAAGAATCTTTTAAACTGAATTTATAAAACTATTTGCAGTTTTGTGAACTGCATATTGGAACTATGGCATTTTTTTCTTCTAAATATGCAGTAAAACTTCTAGGAAGTTCTTAGTATGATTAGGTGTAAAAGACTTGAATAATAATTTTATTTTTAAAAAAGGAGGCAGCGCTCGTTATCACAAAAATATCTAAAATGAAAATTATGTAGTCAATGCCTGTAGATATCGCCAATCTTGACAACACTTTAGCAAATTTATATTGGCCTTAATCAATAACGTTTGCTCTATCTTGTCATAGAAGCAATCTCCATTACTTTTGAAAATGTATTCTGTACTGTGCTTGTGCAAAAAATAATTTCATGAAGTTTGAAAATTAATTTACATTTGTAGAATTATACTTTGTTTTATTATTTGTTTATAAAATTTCAGTCTTCGAATAAAATATAGTGGCTGAAATTAAAATATTCAGGAATTTTATACATCGAATATAATGTTCTTTTTACCTATAAAAATTTCGAATAATTAACTCGTATTTTATGCAATAACGGTATAAACGATTCATTGAGCTGTGCAAGTCTCAAAGACTGAATAACATTTTCCGAACTGTGTTAACGTGGAACTTTGCCAACATTAATTATCTTAAATCTATAGGCCAGGTCGTAATATTAAATCACTTATTATTACATAGAAGTCATTAAAATTAAGATTCAGTTGTAATCAATGATATGGTTCCATTGACACGGAAAGAAGAATTAGAGACAATTATATTTATTTTAGAATGAATTTTTATCTAAATCCTTAACATTTGACATTTCGTAATTTACATGGTTGCCGTACCAATCGCATTAACTCGTTTCAAATGACGACATCGTTGGCCAATGACGAATTAGTATTTGGCGTAACGCATTTCCGTTGCATTTTTGCTAAGTTACACACTAGTCGCGCCTCAAGACTTTTACTTAAAATGTATGTAAAATATTTTAAATATCATCTGTTTCATATTAATCGAATTAACTTGTTTGCATCAATGACATTATTGGCCAATGACAAAATCAGTATTTGGCGTAACGCATTTCCGTTTCATTTTTGCTGAGTTATACCCTGGTCGCGCCTAAAGAAGTTTTACTTCAAAAATTTATGATAAACTAGATGAACCGACAGACGTTGTCCTGTACCCATGTCTACAATCTTTTAATATAATATACTAATATTTACCGTTTACCTAAAAATAATAATCATTGTTTTTTAAATTACTCTTTAAAAAATGCATGTACTTTTATATAATATAATATAATAATGAGTAATGAGTATTATAAGTTTATAATATGAGTGATGTTAAATGTAGAACTGCTTTAAATAAAATGATGAGTCTCAATTACCGCACTATATTGCAAATTGAAATCTTTTAAACGGTATAACATAACCATAACCATAGCATAACACTGGTACTTTGAGTTGGATTAAATTAATTTAATTTTTTATTATTTAAGATGTCCAAAATTGCCATCTTAAACTTCTTCTAATCGATATCGTGAGGGCCGAATTGTATGCATTCATCTTTCCAATTTGTTGTTATAAAGTAAATTTTTAGGAATTTTAAAAATATTGTGGAAAGGTTAGTAAAAGATGCAAAGAAATTATATATTGAAAAAAAAAACTATGTTCAAAATTTAATATCCGAATTTTGTGTTGGCGCTCCCTAAGTCATGCGCTCGTATTTTTTGCATGTATCGCATTACAGGTAGGACCGGCCTTGATTAATACTTAATTTCATATTTTAAGTGAATTAATTTGTCATATCCTGTTCATATGTATATCATTCAATCTGCCATCGTGTCATCTGGATTTTATATTATTTATAATTTTTTTATCTCAGCTGCTTTTTGGAAATAATAATGTAGACATTCCATTTTTCTCTTATTCATAATCATAAATTTATACATATTCTAATATCGTCTAGGTTCATAAGTGAATTGAAATTTTTGGCAGATGATAGTTTTCATTTGTTTTCAATGCAATTTTAGTTTTGCAATTTCTTCCATTTATTTCTACAATATTGCACATACATCCCAGTACTTTATAATCGCATACATCCTAGAAAATTTCTTTAACAAACTACAGAAAGATTTATCAAAATCCAAATAATCGTTTAGAAGGAGTATGCAGTGAGTGCTTGTAATTTAATATGAACTTTATATAATAGCAATAAAGCTCAAATTGATTCTACGTTATAGTTTGGAAACGTTTGTATGAGAAAAAGAAAAGGGGTGTTTTTAGGGGTTCTCCCGCAATTATTCGATTTTTGGACTTCAACGAACATTTTAAAAAAATAATTGGCCAAATTGGTCCAGGCGTTGTTGGGTTATGCGCTTACCAACACATTTTGCGATTCATTTTTATATATAAGGTATTTTACATATTTGTTTCATATTAATCGCATTAACTTGTTTTCATCAACGACATTATTCACCAATGACGAATCAATATTTGGCGTAACGCATTTTCGTTGCATCGAGTTACACTCTAGTCGCGCCTAAAGAAGTTTTACTTCAAAAATCTATGATAAATGTTTTAAACATCATCTGTTTTATATTTTATTATTTTATAGTCTGGCAGGCATGTCACGCAGTGTGACGGTTGCAGTAGCTTACATTATGAGCGTCACGAATCTCTCATGGAAAGAAGCCTTAAAAGTGGTACGAGCCGGAAGAGCTGTCGCGAATCCAAATCAAGGATTCCAGAAACAACTGCAAGACTTTGAACAGAAAATGCTTGCAGAGGTAATAAATAAAACATTATGCTGTTTTCTACGTGCAATTATTTTTGACACATTTTTCATTACAAATGTAAAATATTAAACTGGTATATGATTTTGGTGGTGATTATTTAAAGGAACGCCGCAGGCTTAAAGAGCGTTACCCCAGTTTGGCGTTGGAGGCATCCGACCGCGATAACTGTGCGATTATGCTGGACTCCTACCAAAGTTTACTTTCCGCAAGGCATATCTGTGAAGGGCAGTGTCCCATGGGTCAACCCTGCCCCACAGGTAAATCATAAACATATTACTCTACAATAGGATTTATGCAAAAGCGAACATTTTAGGAAAACGGTTTTGCTTGGTTTCGAGTTTTGAATAAATTTTAACAGAAAATGTAGAGTGATTAAGAGCAGTTTTTGACTGATATTATTTACTATTCAACGTTATCGATAATATTTTTTGCAATTAAGTTAAACAAAAGAAAAATTATTGGCCAGGTTTATATACAATTAATAATACGTTGTTCATACTTTGAAAACCTGTATTTTCTACTAAAAACCTGTATTTTTTACTAAAAATTTTCTATTGAAAAACGGTTTTCGAATTCCTTACGTTTATCTTAAATATCGGGTTTTTAAAACCTTACTCTATAACAAATTATATATAAGCATGGCATCGTGCCTTAAGGCAAGTTGCTGGAACTTCCCGTATCAAAAATTATTTTTTTAAAAAAAGGTTAAATTTTATTTTAAACTTTGAAAAAAAATTTTCACTAGATCTCCGAAACCGCTAGACCTGCCTTCTCAAAAATTTAATCAGTTTTTTATCTCGTCGATACAAGTAAAATGTTTTTTGAGTTATCAAAATCGGACGCTCCGTTCTCTTAAAAATTGAGCTATTGTTTTAGCACTTTTTGCCCCGTATCTTCGGAATGGCTAGACCTGCCTTTGCCACAAACTAATCAGCACGTTATCTTATCAATAGGGATCGAATGTTTTTTGAATTATCCAAATCGGTCGATCCGTGTTCCGGAAATTGTCAAGAAAAATTTGTATCCGCACTCACATACACACATACACACGTACACATTCATCCATTTTTTTAAGGTTTGCCAAAATATTCAGAAACCTCTGAAACGTAAAAATATATAAAAAAATTCATTTTCAATTTTTTTGCGATTATTATAACTTACCCTACGGGAAATTAATAATTAGTCTTCAACTGTTATTTTAATGTCATTATCGGACTTTTGTTTCTTATTTGAATCAATGGTGATATTATTTACTAGTAATGATTGGGCAATGATTTCTTTTCTTTCAATTCTTTTATTTTTAGTAAAAATAATTTATCTGTTTTTTTGCCGGTTTTAATGCATGCGTATGAACATAAATAGACTGCATTATACCAAATTAACATCTTTTAAAATTTCTGTCCTTTTGACTGTTTCAAGGTGATTTTGAAAGGATTTGTTTGGCATATAGCTGATGTAGTTGGGCGTAAATTTTAGGCTAAGAATATTAAAAAAATGTATCTTATCTGATCTCGGCTGTTTGCGCCGCATCGACCATGTCGCATTTAACAACAAAAAATTATTTGTTCATCACATCCTTATTCAAGAAATATTTTATTTCAATTTAATTTTAAATTTTAATGTTGAGTATGTAAGTATGTAAGACTAAATCCTCAAAGCAATACATCAATTAAAAAATTGTAGAAAATTATATCATCTTTATTATTCCTAAACTTTTCGACATATAATCTCATGTCATTTTCAGTGGAATATAAATTAAAAAGTTCCTAATTAACTCTTATTAGTAATAATAATTCACAACAACACTGCAACACTATTTCAAGTCAATTCAAATAGTATTCTTTATATATAATAATACATGAGAAACTCATAAAGCTAGTCATCTTTTATATATTGCATAGAATATAATTATTCTACTACTAAGGTTTTACTCAAATTATCTATCTCTGTATCTATTATTATAGGGGTATGTCGTACCGGTACCGGCAAACGTCTGTTCCGTCGTCGATCTTCGTCCGCCCGTCCCGGGCCACCAGCAACCACGTCCCGTTTACCAGCTTCAACTTCCAGATCTGCCGGCAACTCGCCAGCGACGTCCTCTAGACAAACACACACTTCTAGTAGTCTCACTACTATTTCTCAACAAAAGCAACTGATACAGCAACAGCTGATGCAGCAGCAGCAGCAGCAACCATCTACTAGCAATACGAGTACCAGATTGCTGCCAAAGACACCGCCGTGTTCCTCGGAGCCGTCCAGTCCACGAAGACAAGCCACTGGAATAACTCGGTCTGCAAGTACGATGAGCAATCAGAGGTAAAGTAGGATAGATGAAATAGTAATAGTAAAAATTTTGGTTTAAATTAACATTATTTGTTTTGTTATTAAATAAAATCGTTCGCCTTTTGATGCTGTTATTGAAAAAAATGAACGCATGAATCTAGTAAATATTTGTAGGATTTGCAAACGGTTAAATCTTTTGTTTATCCTATCATGTTTGAAGAAAAATGATAGGTACAGTGAACTATTACAAATAGAGCAAAAAATTATAAATCTTTTTATTTATTTTTTTTTTTTTTAATTTTTATTTTCAATAGCAATCAGAATACATGACTATTCTATGAGCTATCTTTTTATCATTCTCCAAATATAATTCGTATCTGTTTTTTTCGATCGTTTATTTATTACAAAAGTATAGGTATTAGTTATATATTAAGAAGAAATTTTTTTATGTGAAGTTGAACAAAAACTTATTATTTTCAGAGTTCGATCAAATCCTTCAGGATTATACTCGTATACAGGTAAGTTATTTTGTCTTTTTTTTACAATATATATATATATATATATATATATATTTATATTTATACTGGATGACCCGGCAGACGTTAACGTCTACAATTTAAAAGTTCCAAATTTTTTAATATCCTATCCTATACCTTTTATTATCCTATTTGATGTCCTGCCTTTGAGATTCATTTATGGTCTTGGCATAAGCAGTATAAGATATTCAGGAAAAAATAATATGGTATCTGCGGTAAAAGAACATTATCACACTTGATTTTACCACACAACGTAATTGCTTCAATAAAATTTAGTCTATAATTTTCATTATCTCGTACGATATATTAGTTGCTTTTTGGCAATTATAATTTCCCAAGTACATTTTTTTTACTAATAATTTAATAAACATTAATATTTATGTTCAAATCTTAGGTAAATTAATTTGTAAAATTTAGTTAATATGATCATTCTTCAATCTAAGATCAACTTGCTTAATATTCCATAACTAATGCCAAACAAATGAATTTTTGACACATGAAACAAAATTCTAAATCCTTTTTTTAATAAGTAGAGATATTTTTTTGTATTGTTAAATAATTTAGTAAAGTAATCCAAAATGCGATATGCATAAGCTTAAAAAACATTGTATTTTGGACTTATTGCGTTATTTATTAAACTGAATGATATAATTTCATCTGCCAAACATCTATACTGTTGGCTGTATCTCATATTATTTTAATTTCTGGCACATCTCAGCTTCTTTTCGGCAATAATAATGTAGACATTACATTTTTCTTGTATATTATATTCTAATATTATCTAGGCTCATAATTTCGGCTAAATTCAAATTTCAAGTGAATTGACATTCCAAGCAGATGGCAGTTCAAATATTTCCAATGTCCTACCACAATGATAAGTGTTTTTTGTAACTTTTGCTTCTACAATATTACTACAGTTTTATCGTTTATAAAATCTTAAAAATTGCCTTTGACAAGCTCTAAAAAGTATTATCAAAATCCGAATAACCGTTTAGGAGAAGTATCAAATCATACACCCGTACAGAAGAATTTTATATATAAGATAATAGTTTAATTTATACATCCGCAAAATATTTTAAATTATACTGTAACTAAATATATTATACGTGCATATAAATTGAACATTGATTGCAGTATGTAGTCTATGCATTTTTAGAAGGAACGTTCATCCAGATTAAAAGCAAACAACTCGGTCAAGGATAAGTTACCCCATGAATAATATTTTTATCATGTTATTGCGAAAAGATGATGTTTTTTGGATTATATAGTCCTAATTCAATTTAAGATTTATCGTATTACTACAACTTGCCTTATGGTGGTGTTTACTTATTCAAATAAATTGACCTAAATTGAATTTTCTTTGAGATGCATCTGTGCAATGAGAAAAACAAGGCTTCGAAGTAAACAAGTTAGTTTTATAAGTGCAGATTTTGAATTTATGGTTTATTAGATTATTTTTGTTAGTGATTTTATATTTTGATTGAAAGAGTAAAAGAATTATTACTATTATATTATAATCATATTCAAAATTTTAATATTACATTTATTAATTACTTAGTTAACTATTATTGACGAATATATCCGTCTTTTGGAATTGGCAAAATTTTGTGTTTTGGAGAGTATATACGCGAAAATAAAACATTGACAATGTGCTATTTAAATAAAAAATTTTGAAAGTAACAGAATTTATTCCGATATTTCAAGTTATTTAGAATATTTTCAGTATACAACTTCATAAAACAAATAGTTATAAATGACATTTTACCTTAAGGCAAGTTGTACGAACTTCTCAAAATGTGGAAATAATATACTTAATCCATGAGAGTTAGGATTTAGCTATTTAAATAACATGTTGATAAAATTCACCTAAATAGTCCTTCGAAAATTAGTTGAATTCTATTAATTTATTAAAAATTTAATAATGGATCTGAAAAATAGTCTTTCGAAAATTAGTTGAATTTTATGAATTTATTAAAATTTTAATAATGGGAGTATTTAGAACAAACACGTATTTGTGCACTATAATTAATAACGCCACTTACGCCCAATTAATCATATGTTTCAATTACTTAATTTTAGTTATCAATCTTTTTGAAGTAAAACTTTTTTAGGCGCGACCAGGGAGTAATTCTGTGCAAATGCAACGGAAGTTGCGTTACGCCCGAATTGTTTTTCATTCGCTCTCGATGAAATCATTTCTATATGAGTCGATTTTTATTAGTCGTCGTGTCAAGTGAATAGAGTTTAGAATGTCATTAGATTTTAAAGCTACATCGTAGAAGAATTAAAAGAACATTTTTCCCTTTCCCCCGTAAATAATTATAATGATAATAATAAAACAAATGAAACATTTGTGCCGCGTAAAAAACGTAAGTTTATTGAAATACTATTCGTGTTTATTTATTGAAATATTATTCGTAGTTTCTATAAATCTTTGAAGTTATTAAAATTGAATGAGATTGCATCGCCAGCGAAAAAGTAAAACAAAAATAGAAGCAGTCAATGAATGCATGTTAATTTTAATTACATGAAGTTCTTCAAATACAGTTACATGATGAGTGAAATTGTGAAAACAATATTTCTTTAGGCGTAGTTTAACTGGATCCAATGTGTGAACGAATATTATAGAATTTATTAATCAGCAATTACATCATTTCTCTGATGAAGATTCAAGTTCTAAATGCTAATTACAATGACAAATCGATCATGTCATATTTGAACTATGACTAATTACATTATTGTTTTCAAATATTATAAATATTTTTAATGTTTTATAATTATATAATTTATAATTTATAATTATATAAATATGTTATATAATGTATTCATTTTTAACTTAAATGCCATCTCGTGCAATAGCAAAAAAGTTCTACTTCAATCGCGTGTGAACCTTACGCGCACTCTTTTTTTTAAATAATTGGTTGTAACTACGATATATCAATTACTTGAAGACAGTAATAAAAAGATTCCTCTGTCTTGTCCCACAACACCTCAAAGGTAGGCATATACATAATATATGTCAGAGGCTTAGTGCTTATCCCTGTTCCTTCCTCAGTTGGAAGAACCATAAAAAATTCATATAGTGTAAAGAGAAACAAAACCATAGCCGACCTTTACAGCTCGGAAAACAATACTTGAATAATTGATTAAATGATGTGGATTGAGACAATTTGTTTAAGCCCGTACTATAATAAATAAAATACTTTTGGCAGATTGCTTCTGCTGTTGTGTAATGTATACCTTTCTGAAAAGTAAAGAGCTATTTATTTTCTCGAGAGATTTATGCGAATTAAATTATTTGTGCTGCAGGAGTACTGGAGTATTGTGAAATATCGCTTGAAAACCAAACTGAACATTAATCAGCTAAATATTTAAATATTTTTAGGTATAGAAAGAATATTTATCTCAATAAGTGCAGTATTGATGATTTATTTCTTCCATTTTAATTTTTTATCTTCATTTAATTTGATTACTGTATGATAATATATCAAATATGATAAATTATATTTATGCAATACTAATATTAAATTACTAAAATAGATTGTTTAATACAGATATTTAAAACCTATTTTTTGTTTATTTTATCTGATATTTCCATTATTTAAATATATACATTTATATATATAAATTTCTACGTTAATATTCAATTATACAAGTTCAATTCTGAAGTAGTCTTAAAACGATTACAAAATTTATAAATTTTAATAATTTACAGAATGTTGATAATTTAAGTTAGTTAATAAATTGGTAAAAATATATTTTAATCATTAATCTCAAAAATGCAAATTAAAAAAGATTATAATAGTTAACTTTAATTTATTTTTAATTCAATTAATCATAATATACTTCTTCGAAAATTAAAATTAATAAAAATACATGTAAAATCGTCCAGATGGCTTGAAAAACAGTTTTTTTTTATTTCTAATTAAATTACAATATATCTATTATTATATGAAAACATTATTATATGATTGTTTTGTTAATTATATTAGAAGACAATGGGAAATTTAATTGTGATATATTTTCATCGTAATTATGATTTTTGTTTTATGTACTTCAGTATCAATGTCCTAAAAAGCTATTTTTACTTTATATCACATTTGATATCTATAATCTCAAGTGAACATTGGATATTACTATTGCTTGATATCGAGCTGACCGAGGAGTGTTGCTAGGGCAAGTTTTTACAACAAGGAAAACAGATAACTAACTAAAAAATATTTATTGAAATTATTTGGGGTTTGTTCTCAAGTAAGTTCTCAAGATATTAAGCTGTAGTGACATCGGTTCTTACTTAAAAATATAGATAACAATATGTTTCCAAATGGAAATAGCCTCTACCGGGAATCACTGCAACAATAAAAATTTATCACTATTGCAGAAATTGTAATAATAAAAATTCATCACATAAAATTGCAACAAGTGTTTTGGCCATCTATAAAAAATCAACGTTGTTTATAAAATATTCATCAGAACAGCTCATAAAACTTTTAAGTTCTAATTGCTGTCCGAATCAAATTAAATAAAAAAAACTTACTTAAATTTACTTTCACCAGGAACCGGTTCGTCAGCACCTCCATCGCGCTCTGGTTCCCGCCTGGACGTATCTTATACCGAAGGCGGTGGTGGCGGCGGAGGTTCTGCAATCGTAGTTGGTGGTACCCAATGGGCTAGACATAGAGCCGGGTCTGCACCGAGTACTCCTCTTCCAAGCCCACCTTGTTCACCTCAACACTGGCCTAGAAGGTATATTTTGTAAACATCAAATAATAATAATTATAATTTTAGAATAAGATGGATTTGTTTGGTTTTTTAACTTTTTGAATGGAAAATTTATGATTTGTCAGAAAACCCGACTTGCTAATTTTGATTTCTCGAGTTTTCAAGTAGTGCTGAATCGTTAGAGGCCAATATTGAAAAAAACTGTCTGTATGAGAGTGTGTGCACAATGTTAAATAACTGTTATTTACTCATTCATTTAAAAAATTACAACGGATATTTGATTGATTTAATAAACCAACAGGATTAACACCAATGAGAAAACTGTATGAACGCCTATTGATTTCTTGTTGGAAGCATCAGTACAGTATAAATATCTCTTATTCAATAAATACATAGTACTACATATTTTGTACTATATTATCCTGTTTTTTTTTATCATTTACTTTCCTTTAGGAATGCATCATTGGCAAAGCGCAGTAGCGCCGCCACATAGGGGCGCGTCCAGGGTGCTCTTCAGCCCCACCAGCACGCATCAGGCGGGCGCAAGATTTATCCAGCGCCTGCCTCACCGCACGGTTCGCACACTGTCAACGCACGCACCACCGATATATATCAACAGCTTGGTCTTTTTTGCAAATGGCACTTTGGAGCTTCACGTAAGTGAATGGGTAATGTAATTTATGAAAGGGACGAAAATTAATTAACAGGTTAATCGCCATGTGTGTCTGACTCTAAAAACATCTACACAGCCATATCAGACATTATGAGACAAAATCACTTAAAAACTTGCAGGCTTGTCGAGATAAGAGTCTTAATATAGGACTATATCAGTTATATATATATATATATATATATATATTTGCGACATAAAAAATAGAATTTTTCCAGAAATTTTGGAAAAAAAAATTTGATACATTAAGTTTACTTGATACACTTTCAACTAAATTATTTCATAAAGGTACCACGGTCTATCTGAAATATTTACTGATACTATCCTGGCGATTAAGAGGTTAATTAATATTTTCAAGTGGTTGCTAGGTTTTTTAAAACAAACAGCCTGAGAAGTGAAATACTTGTATAAACACCTTGATTTTTTTCAAATATATTAATGAATAAATGAAATTGATAAAATTTCAAATCAATATAATATAATATTGATAAAAATTATGCGTGCTCATGATCATGACGAGTATATTCGTCAATCACACAATAAGGTGCGCTATAAAGATATCGGATGAAAAATTGTGGTTTATCGTACAAAATTGAGAAAAGTAAGTACTGAATTTTATTTATTCCTTATTATGAGCATATATTATTTATTAATATATATTATTAGCACTGGGTACGGTTGAGCCAGTTAACTATAGATTATGACGAGTATATTCGTCAATCACAGAATAAGTTGCGCTGCAAAAATCGAATGGAAGAGAGTGGCTTATTTTATGCAATTGAGAAATGTTAGTACACCCAAACCTCGCTTTACGGCCTAGATACGTTTCGCGAGACTTCGCCGTAAAGCGAAAAGCCGTATAACGAATCAATTATTCTAATATGTATTCATACAAATTCAATGGGATCGGTTCCAAATTTAATAAATATATAATATGGTTTATCATTCAAAATATATTATTTTTTTATTTTGTTTAAATTATAAACATAACAAGAACATAAATTTTACATATAATGAAACAACTAAAACCTACTGTCACCATCATTTTGCGCTGGTGGCTTGAAAAATTTGTCTAACGTTGTTTGTCTTGCCTTCTTGTCTATTTCTTTCTTTAGTGATTTATAAATGCTAATGGCTGAGTTAATTCCTCGAGAGACATTTGCGCTACGTTCGACGTCAGGATCGTTTTCGAGGAGGATGTTTATTCCTTGTTCAAAATATAAAAAAGCGCTCGACATGATTTTTGATGTTAGCTGTTTGGATACAACAGGTTCTGTATCTTCATCAATTGCCAGCTCTGCTTGCAATTGAATGAGTTCCTCATGTGAAATAGGTTTCCTATCAGCTGCAAGTATTTCCAGCACATCAGATTCGTTTAAATCTTAAAACCGAGATTGCGCAATATATCGACATAGAGAAAAAAATCCGTTATAGCAAAACATTTTAGGCCGTATATCGAAAACGTACCTTAATTAAAGAGGGCCGTTATAGCGAAAAAGGCCGTATAAAGAGCGGCCGTATAGCGAGGCTTGGGTGTACTGATTTTTTTTATTCTCTAGCATAAGTATATATTACATATAGACGCTGGGAAGATTGGGTACGGCTGTGTCACTTTTTAATATAGGCAATAATTTTGGTAATTTACCTGTTAGCTGAGAGAAACGTAAATTAATTTGGAATTGTGAAATACGTAGAAATACGAAAAGGGCGAGTGTCACAACCTCCCACAATCTCCGGATGCCAAAATGGTGTATGACGGCTTTTATTGACAGAAATATATAACGCAACACAACATAATCATTTAAAACAAAGCTTATGAATGTAATATAACAATATATATCAAAACATATTTTTCCAAACAAAGTTAACAATAAATCCTTGTGAAATCTTTTTTTACTTGCATTGAATTTTCCTTACCCTTTCTCTTTTGTATTTTGTCTTAGTTAAGTTAGATTTTTTATCTGTTTAATCTACACCCGAAAAGGATCATACCCACCACATGTCACAACCGTACCTAATGCACATTTTTGAAAACAAATTATTGTTATGATTTTATACTTCTGTATCTATGGTAATGACTGATCTAAACTATCTACGAAAAAACACTTCGGGGAAGTTCATGCAACATGCCTTAAGGTAAAATAGCAATCACAACTACTTATTTCCTACAGTAAAGCTCAAAATATCCTATAATTGACACTACAGAATATATTATGGTTTAAAAAAAAATCTATTTAAGTAGCAAATGGTCACTGTTTTATACGCATGATATGCATACAAACTCGTCAATACACAAAATTCTCCATGACGAGTATATTCGTCAATCACAGTCACTGGTTAAAGTGTATTGTCGTATTTTATGTATCTTATATTTCCGAACTCATAGCTTTACGTTGAATGAAAATTCAACGATTACAACGATTCTAAAACATTTCGCATTGTTTGAATTTTCATCATGGCTAAAAATACGCCACTAATTCAAGATATTAAATTAAAATTCTACACAGTTGATGATTCATGACAAAAAAATGTAAATATAATTTTTATTAAATGAGTATCAGAATAATTAGAGAATGCAAAAATATCTTGCTCAAATATTGAAAACTTATAACATGGTTTAAGCATATAATGCTGAGGCTTTTGGTACACCAGTTGGTGCATTAAAAATATATAATAATGAAATATATTTAAAAAAATAATGCAAATATGATTAGTTAACTAGTTTCATTTAATTGATAAAAATATATTCATGGTTTTAAAGATTGTATATATGCTAATTTGTTAAAAATTTTATTCTGTTGATATTTTTTAAAAGTATTTGTATATATTATTTAGATATTTAATAACAAATTATTTAAATTATAGTTTGTAAAATTAGCTAGTACAAACATTAGAAAAGTGATACAATTTTCTACTTCATCGTTGTCCTATTGTTTAAGCATACAAATTATTGGTAGATTAGAAAGATATATAGAAAATGTTAAATGTTAATAATTATATGAAGATGTTATCTGCTTAGGGCTCAATTTGTGATAGATTTTATCTATGCATCAAACAATTATTAATTTATTTTAAATTAAAGAGACATTTTTAAATTTTTTGAAATGGAAAGTAAACGGTTTACTATTTTAAATCGTTTACTGAACATATATTTATTTTGGATATCAAAATATATTTAGTAGAGATATTTCTCACATCTACTGTTGTTGGCAGAATGTATTAAAGTTAAAATCTGTGATTCATATTGGATGCGGGCATCCTTATATTTTCAGTTATTGATTAGAATTACTGAAGATATATGCAATATTTAACTAAAATTTTAGGCTTAAATTTATTTTCATATTTGCTAAACGTTCACACATCTGGAATGTTCAAATGTTGGAAGTTGATCTATATATTTTATAGAATAACATATGAAAAATATGGTTTCTTAAAATGTTATCGGTTTGTTTATTAGGGACATCCTAATTTGTTAATAGGCACATTCCCACAAAACGAGTTTAGTATTTTTCTACAAACTTGCTAGCATGTTAGGTTGTGATATTAGATTAGCTTGAAATAAATTGCAAATATATTGTTATTGATGATATTTATTATGTACTCATGCATTATTGCAAAATTTAAGCACTGCTGATATCAATGTGAAATAAATATATTTGCAAATATAATTTTTCTTTAATTTTCATAATATGATATAAGCTAATGGAACTGTGAATTAATCTTACATAAAACTATTTACTTGCTGTTCTTATGTTTTTTTGTAGATGAATACTTTACAATGAATTTTTTGTTATTGAAACGATAAGAGCTGCCGTGCCACAAGGTAGCGTACTCGGACCATTTTGTACTTAAACAAAATAACCCTTGGAACTTGCAGATGACAGATTTGGAACAACTGCAGAACTATTTATTCAAATTAGAACAATGGACTCGTTAATGAATAGTTAGTATTAACACAACTAAATCAATTCACATCACTTTTACCCAAAGAAAAGAAGATTGCCCTGATACAAAAATTAGTAATGTGGAAATACCAAAAAGCATCTCTATTAAATACACGAAACTGCACCTCGACAGAGGATTCACACGGGATACTTGTATTAGGGCAAATCGAAAACAAATAGAATGATTAATTGGCAGATGCTTTAAGGCATACAAGAACAAGATCCTCATAGACAAAACAATAATGGTACAATAGTACTACCGATTTGAATTATTCAAAAAACATTCGATTCCTGCTAATGGGGAGACGAGTTGATTAGTTTTGGTAAAGGTTGGTCCATTCGTTTCTGGGATACGAAGCAAAGAGTGCAGAAATAGCTGAGTTTGAGAGAACGGAACATCCGATTAGAATGATTCAATAAATATTTTTCTTGTGTTGCTAGCCAGTAAGAAGAAATTATTAGTTTTTAGGTAATGCAGGTTCATAATTTTTTTAATTATAAAATTTCAGATTTGTTTAAGGTAGAAAATGATACGGATTTTAGTTTTAATGCTTTTTATAATTCTGAAGCTCCCTTATATACTTGTAATAAAAATTTTAACTTTGCAATTCAGTTTATATAATTCTTAGAAAAATACGATAAGGTATTTTTCTAATGCATGATGAAATTTGAGATAAGGTCTTTCGTTCTAGTTCAGCGGTAACATGATTAGATTTAATTTGAATTTTAACTAATGGTATCGTGTCTTAAGGCAAATTACTGGAACTTCCCCTACCGTTACAAGATGTTCGAGGAATATTAAATTTTTTCAAATAGATTATTATAAATACTGTAACATTGTCGAATATTTATAAGAATTATATAAACTGAAACTTGAAAAGTTGAAATTATTTCTTTAAAGTATATTAGAACTTTAGTCAGAATTAAAAATAAAATCAATTATTTTCGATATACAAAAAAAAAAAATTGAAATAGAAAAAAAATTAGAAAAAAAAATTGAAACAATTTTTTTTCGCAGAATCAATTATTTTGTTAAAACAAGCAGAAAGTTTGAATCGGACGCTAGGTTTCCTCAAAAACTGCCAT